TCTCATCATCAGAGGCTTCTTATGTTCTTCACTAAATAGTTTCTAAATCATTGTATTTTGACGGGGTATTGTAGGTTATTCATCTACATATAACAGGGAAAGAATGACCGAGTGGTCTACATTACTTATGATGAATTTATGATGAATTATTTACTACTTATTTCCTTCAAAAAGCTCTGATAAACACAGTCCACATTATACCTTGCCAGTACCAAACAGAGCTGCGGAACATAGTGGAGCAGTCAGTAGCTAAAGATCAAGAGATTGTCCTCAGGAGTTAGTAGAGACCAACAACAGAGCTAAAATATAGTGAATATTGGATTTGCCTGGACACAAACACAATTCCAATTGAATGATTATGCTGCTCTGTAAATGCTAAATGTGTAAATAAGCAACTATTTGCTAACAAGTTTAGCATACCAACCTAAAAGGTTGTTATATGTCAATGTTGTGTTCAAAACTTCTCTCTGCTGTCGCCAAGTGGCAAAAAGTTATTGCAGGTTGAAGTATCTTGATTAGTAGATTGCAAAATAAGTTATTCTACTTGAGACATTCTCATTCAAGTAAAGGTATCTGTTATTACTCCTACACAAATGCAGGATTTCATTCAACAATAATACAACAGCTTTAATATGTTTAGTTTATTTCATTTGCAAACACACAGTCCTTCATGATAAAGCACAATTCCTTTTTTAGCTTGGTGGATTTATCTGTTGGTGTGTGAGTGTGTGTGTGTGTGTGTGTATGCCCTCGGTGACGCAGCACATTTTTTTCCTTCCTTTAAATGGTTCTTCTTAAACAGCGGAAAGGCTTAGCCTTGTTTAAATTAGGTCTCTACCTTGAGCTCATTAAAACACCTCTCGTGTTCTTTTTTTCTGCCCCCTTCTGTACTGTCATGCACACATAAAGACAAAACAAACACACATATTAGCAGATACATGCATATAACCGAAAGGTATAAAACACTTACCAATGCTATTAGCTACTGTAAGTAATGTGTGATTAGTTGTGCAATGTGTTCTTGGTTTATTTACAGGCTGAGAGGAAACAGCAGCTGTGTGGGTGCGTGATGTTACCTGGCACCAAACACAAGGAGGTGCGTATTCCTAGACACATCCAATCTATTTTAGGTCTGCTGTGCAGAATTGATGAGGCATGACTGAAAGGACCTTGTTGTAAATGTTAAGGAGCCATTTACAAGTCTTTGATAAAGCTTTTTTTTTTATACGTCCTCTTCCAAGTCTAAAACTGGAGTTGAAGTCCTTAAAAACACCCACAACTTTGTCCACAGATGTATAAAAGGACACACAACTCTTAAGCTCAATTGCCTGAGGGACCAATGGAAATAAGTTATATGTATTCAAAATTCAACATTAGTAAAAGAGGACATACTTTCCTCGAGTTCCTGTGCTGAAGCTGCACTAATGACTCAGCACTTCAAATTCAAAGGTGTCTGACACTCAAGGTATAGCTGCTCTACAGCCTCAAGACCCCCCAAGATGTTCTATCGCTGACCTTTGACATTTTCTGGCAAAGACTTTTTTTTAGTCTCACATTCTTTTTCCCTCCGTCCATTTTCCGACAGAAAGCTTAAGTTTTTACGAGCCGGTCATTGATGATTCTCTCTCAAAAGATAGGCGGGGGCACTCTTAGCAAGAAAAGAGAGAAAGATGAGCATTGTAAATCCAGCCAGAACCATTTTATAACTAAATTAAAATATATATATATATATATATATATTTTTTTTTTTAAAACATTAAGGGTTTGAGCAGGAAGTACTTGTTAAAAGGGAAAAGTGTAGTGGTATTTGGCTTGTAATTGTAGAGTTCGGTACCTAAACTCTAATATTTGCCTAAATTGCTGTGCAAACATGTTAAAAGGTTTCAGGGCAATCTATAATTGCAGTACAATGTCTCCTGTTGAAACAAGCTTTCTACCACTAACAATCTTCTCACTCAATGATTTACCGTAAGCTTTCTTGCCTGATCTTATTGTTGATTTTGTAGATTTATAACTTAAATTAAAAACAAGTCTTGAAATGAAGTTACATACAAAATATCCTACAATGCTCGCAAATCAAACTCTTTAAGAAAATGAGCATGCACACGTAAAATGTAGACAGTAATTTAAATTCTATAGCTGTTCAGATACCAACTGTTCAGTAAAGCTACAGTAGAGAGTCTCAAAGGAACATATTTAAGAGTTGGCCTGCGAACATAATTAAAGCTTTAATCTCTGCTCTTGGCTAACACGTTTTGACAGTCCCGCGGGTTTGTGCAGGAGAACCCTGTGACCTGTGAATCTCATCAGATAGTTGTTGAGTCACGGTTAATCTCAGCCGGCTCCTTCCGTTTGTTGAGTAACCTCGACAGGACTGTACGCTATGTGAAAAAAACATGTCTGTTTGGGTAAATATTGATGGACTATAAATGCACAGTGTGGTGTACAGAGTTATGTAACCTGCTAAGACCTCATTGTGGCCTTCAGTTTTTATTTGGTAATGATATAACTGTAAAATGAAGAGACTTTGCACTATTTGTTTGTTGCTTTTGTTTTTTGGCCACTTGTGGGCTAAGGAAAGACTTGTGAACACAACACTGACATGTGATATGGTCCAGCTGATACGTCCAGCAGTTACGCAGCAACATTGTCAAGCATTTGGTCCAATATTCACATCATTTATATATTTGTTTTGTTTCTACCAACTACTGAGGGAAATATATGTCTCCTTAGCTGTTAAAAGCTCCAATTTGTTCACCAGCTAGCTAACGTTGTCTGCCTGCACTTCTTTAGTGCTCTTTTGCTGTAAATAAAACTCGTATACAGGAACTTTTGAACTGCACCGCATTTTCTGCCACTTCTTGTTCTAGCATGTTGGTAAAGAACAGTTTTACCAACATGCAAAAGAACAGCAATTAAGAAGTTAAGCACACCGCCCTAACGTTCTTCAGGCCTAGTATAAGATGTACAGAATATCTGTGTCCATGTGAGACGTTAGAGGCAGTCTGGATAATCCCAGCTATGTACCACTATGACTGTGTGACCCTGTCAGACCTGACCTGCTGTCTCAATGATTAGAACATCTGACGTAGGAGTGATTTACACTGTATGCCCCTTAACAACACATATACAGTACATCATGACATGCTAGTCTTTTTTTGCTTTGGCCGGTTTGTATTCCCGTCTGTATTTTCTAAGATTACAAACATAGCTTTGCTATATGATATAGAGAGTATCAAGCGAATAATTGTTCCTTCTAACACAATATGAATGATGTCAGTTTGTCATCCCAAATCTAAGGGTTTTAACAATGTAAGGGATTTCAAATTTGCATAAAACGGTCATTGTAGGGCAAAGGCAATGAAGAGGATTGATTAGGGACATACATATTGGCAACCAGGACCACTTAGACTGTAAATAACCTCTGTAGAGATACTGTGGAAATACACGTCCCAGAAAGGCTCCTCAAATGGACAGTTGACCCACCGATGACCTCAGAGGTCAAAGGTCACTGACCTGCCTGATGACAGGTGATGGACACATTTTACAGTAACAGCTAGTCAGTCATGCCTTGTGTCAGCTGGTGCTAATGAAGAGCTGCACCAAACCACACAAGCAATGAATTATGAACACTACTGAACAAGGACCTTGTTGCACACACAGACACACAATTAAGCGTTTTAAACAAGCATTGTTTTGATTACAGACTTTGACACCCCCTAGTATGACTAAAACACTCTCAACCTTTTCTGGCAAGGAAAATCTCAATTTCTTGAAAACAGAGTCCTGTGTGTTTCTTTTGGTTTTCCCTGTAAGTTCTTACACATCTAACAATCCACATTCCCTGCTGACTTTACTGTATAATTTGGACATTGAAATGGAGATTTAAGAACCTTTGAATCAGGTGAGTGGTCTTAACCGGAGCTAAACTGTGGCTATTTTAAGAGGCCAGCCCACCAGCATAATGTGTCATTTGTTTCGCCTGGCGTCAGAGGTGAGAGAGAGAGAGAGAGAGAGAGAGAGAGAGAGAGAGAGAGAGATTTCATTCTCAATGAAATACATCAGTCTTCTGTTTGTGTAAGACAGTAAGACATTATACTAATATCTCTACTCTGAATGAGAAAAAAACAGAGTAACTCTTGACATTACTGTAATACAGGTATGGGTTTTATTTTATTCAACAAACAGTCTTTGTCTATAGTAAATACGAACCCACAGCCTTTTAAAAAAAAGATAAGCTGAAAACAGCAATCCAGTTGTTTTGATGCCAAGGACTCCAAGAACTGAAGAAGCTGAAATGATTTGGGAGATAACAGTGGAGAACTAATATACTATGATGATTAGATTTAAATAAAAAACAACACATGGATTTAGATTGTTTGAATATGTCCCTTATGTGGTGCTGTGTGCCTTTCTGAAAAAAAAAGAAAACAAACAACAAATGAGGTCCTAGTTTTCCTCTTAATCTTTCCAGGCCTCCTGATCAATATCTTACTTTGCAGAGTTTACTACGAACATTTTATAAAGTATGCTGAATTGTTAAAGATGAACCTGCCTAGCGTAATGTGAAGTGCCTAAAATCACATGTTCATGCATTAGTAATAATAATCCAATAATATTCACTATAATGAAATAGCATTGACAGGCAACATTCTGCTGAATTTAAGTACTACTCACATTTATGCATCTACTCAAATGAGACTTTTGCTTAAGGATTATGAGTTACTGTACTTCTTATACAACACAAAAGCTCAGAATATGTAATTCAATCAAAAAAAAAAGATTTATCTATTTATACCATTTGACTCCCCGCTGTCAAACAACTTCCAAATATCCGTTTCCCTGTTTTTCCAGTCATTCAGAATATAAAAAAGGACATTAATTAACATGAATGCGTAGCATTGGCCAGCGATGAGACGTATGACCCCTTCCGCCTTCTGCCATGGCAACTTCAAGGGACGGGGGGCTATGGGAGGAGCGACGGTTGGAGGTCCAGGTGGTCGAGCCTGCGTAAAAACGCACCAAACACCCGCAAAGCAGTTTACGAAATAGTGAGCGTCATGAAAAAACCTCGATCCCTGCAGTTCCTGGTACTGTTGTGAATAAATAAGCTGTTTTCAGAGAAAGCCTCCTGAATTTTCTGCAGGAGAAACAACCAACAGAGCGGAACGCGCTTCGGTGGTGCGTCGCTGCGATCTCTCCAGAAATCGGGAAAAACGGGAACTTCAGACTTTTAGCCAAAGAAGGTGACCTGAAAGCAAGATCAAGACGGCTTGTCTCAGCGAGAAGTGGAGATATGTTCAAGAAAAGCAAGAGTAAAGTGCTGGTGGATTATGCGTCAGAGGAAGAGGACATGTCCTGGCGCTATCATCACTCCTACAAGGTAAAGAGACGGATGGAAAGGAAACTCGAACAAGTCACCACTAACAATGCCGGTTAATTATGTTCGGTGTCTTTCTTTAAACAACAGGGTTAAAATGACAAAATGGTAATGTATAAAATACATTTTTAAAACAGCTAACATTGTTTTACACAAACTATTATAAGTAAATTAATAATAAATCCATTAAATACTAGACATAAATGTTACAACCCCGCTTTTCAACTATTGTTTTTCCCTTGTGAGCTGCTAAACTTCCAAAAAAAGTGGCCAAATACACCTCATGCTGTTAAATTGAGACTGTGGAGCAGAGGGAGGAGGAGGAGGACAAGTGCTCAACTCATTGTCTCGACTGCAAAACTGTAGAAATATAGAAATATGCTATTTAAAAAGGGACAGTTCACCCCAAAATCAAATTTCCCCCTTACCTGTCATGCTATTTATCAATCTAGATTGTTTTGGTGTGAGTTGTTGCCTAGTTTTGGAGATATCGGCCGTAGAGATGTCTGCCTGCTCTTCAATATGACTGTTTTATTGTCCCTTAAAATGGAAAACCATCCCCCTTGTTCTTCATGGGATAGTACAGGAAAATAATTGCGATACAACACTAGAAAGAAAACTATCAACATCAAACCATCTGTATGCCATTAAAACAGGAATATATAGTAGAAATACTTTGACGTAAATTAGTGTCAAATCTGAAACTATTTGCGCACACACACACACACACACTCACACACACACACACACACACACTCACACACACACACACACACACACACACACACTTGCACAAGGAAAGGCCAAAAGTGCCAAAAGCACCTAACAGTCCTGTCTCATAAGAAATAGCTAGTGGACATGTTTATTTCTTCTGCTGCGTGCAGTAAAAATAATGTGCTATCATGAATCAAGGTTTTATGGTGAGAGTAACTATCAAACCATTTAAGCATTCGGGGGCATACTAACATGTCGTCCGGATTGTGACACTTGTGAATTAGTAAAACTACATATAAATGAAACTACAGAGAAGTTAAACAAAGGATAGTTTTTAAAACACAGAAGAAAATAATTTAAAAAGTTCATTGTAAAACATTGTGAACTTGTGATGCACCACTTCAGATTGTATCCACTGCCTGTACCTCCTTTAGTGCATTGCCATACTGAATGTCTAAATGTGTTATTAGGCAATTGGGAAGATCAGCCAACACCAACAGCATTTTTCATCTGTTGTTGTGATAATGTTGAGATCTGTGACCCGTGGCTGGGTTTTATTGGTCGCTCTTAACTTCCACCCTGGGAACCAACACATGTGGCCCTCACCCCCAAAGAGCGGACTTGAGTTCAGTTGGTGACACTGTCTACGGTGGTCACCAGAATTACTTTGGATGATGAGAGCTGATCTGAGGTCAGATCTGCAACTTCTCCTCACAATTCCTGGGAAAGTCATCAGGGAGGTCTCTTTGAGTCACTATGGCGATTAAGTACATGCCCGGGGTCAGGGGTCAGATCATAAAATGCTGTAAACACAGTGAAGAGCCAGATCCAGCCCAGCAGTGATACAGGATGAATCAATGATAAAGAGTTATGATAACACAGTCTGGACAGGCATGCTGAGCTCGTTCAAATCACTGGCTGATAGTGAGGGAAGCAGAGACGGCGAGACAGATTAGCCTCTTTGCGTCACAATCACATTGCATGAGTATTTTAGCCTCTTTTAAATTCTTTAGGAGTCAAAAGAAACATGGTAAATCAATTTTAAAGCTACAAAAAGGGAAATTTTAAAAGGAAAAGTCAGAGTTCGAAATAGGTTTACAAATAATGATTATTTTCAATATCTTCCCATTATTTTCTTGAATAATCAATGAATCGTTTGGTATGTCACACGTCAGAAAATAGTAACAAATGCTCATTACAATTTCCCCGAATGCAAGTTGACATATTCATTTTGTTTGTTTTGTCTGAACAACAGTTCAAAAACCAAATACATACATTTCACAATCTTAGAAGACAAATAAAAGCATCAAATCACATTTGAGAAGGTAGAACAACTGTGAGGCTGACATTTTTTAATGTCTGTCACTTTATAAATAAGGATTTACATTACAGTAATTTAGAATAGCATTATTACAGTAACTTGTTTTCACACACATTCTCACCTGGAGACTGCTCAGAACAGCCACAGTCTGATCTGGTGGCTACAGGGCATCACAACTGCTGCTTTTCCACTTTTTCCACCAGCATTATCAACATTATAGACAGCATTGTCTGAATCTTGTATAAAGTAATGGTTTCTCTCTTGATCAAAATGTCTGTTTTTTTATAGTCATTACAAGATACAGTATCTCTTTCTGTTGTACTTGTTTATTCTCTGTTATCTGTTTTTTTTTATGGTCGAGCAGATGGTCTCCATGTCGTGCCACTCAAATGAGTACTCAAACTGTACATCAGCGTCACCCATACAGACGGACACAGACAGAGACAGAGACAAGTATTAAGGGATAATACATCCATAAGACACACAGATGAAAAGAGGGAGAGCATAAAGGGGGAAATGAATATCTGTCCTCCCTCCACGGTGCTCTAGGGCGACCACAGTACAGGCCCTGTGCCGCAGCTTGCTTTCACTCACTATTGAAGTTCAACAGGCTGCAAGAGGCAGCTGTGAGCTTGCAGGAGGTACGTGTGTGCCTGTTTGTCTACGGCTTAAAGCGGTTACACACCTGAATACTTCAATAACACCACTCTAATACCACGGTTGGGGCCCGCTTTGTGAAGTGGGATCACGAGAGTACAGATCAGGTCTGAGCAAAAACTTCAGATGGCCTCACATATAAATCATAAGTGGAGAGGAAAAGAAAAGTTAAGCTGAGGGGATCATGTGTTGAAGGAGTAAGGGTTAAAATCATGGAGATGAAATGTGAGTTTTGTCTTAGTTCAAACCAAATCATTTTGATGTAAATGTTAGCCTTTTTACGTTTAATGGCTTGACATTGAAAATACGATTATTCGTCTTACAAAGATTTAGACCAGGAGGTTGAAACCCCTTAATCTCTATAAACAGATTCTCCATTCTAGCTGTTCCCCACTGTTTCCAGTCTTTATGCTAAGCTAAGATAACCATTGCCTGGCTGTGTAGCTTCATATTTAGTGCACACGTATGAGTGGTAGCAATATTCTCATGTAATCTGTCAAGAAAGAGAATAGGCACATTGTCTAACTATTGGTCAAGTGTTTGATGAAATATAGCGGTCGGCCTACTGCAAGCAAAAACATTTTCTGAGTCCCTGTTTTTGGAGAATGTGGAGTATTGTTGGTGTGCAATTGCTTTTTGGAAACTACTGTTGGTATGGTGTTGAAATTCACTCTGCGTCTTTATTGCCTAGTAATCTGGCTTCTTAAAAGACAACACTGTGGTAACATTTACACACTTGCACACAAACCCAGTCAAAGAATGAAAGAAAGCCAGACAGAGGAAAAAATGGCCCCCTGAGGTGCGAAAGCAGAACTCTTGCTTTCTGTTGTTAGGAACATTTGTTCTCCCTGAAACGCTACGCTCTCCCCCTGAATCTCCCCCTCTCCTCACTCTCTCTGTCTGCCTCAAGTTGTTAATGCTTTTACGCTCAAACAGTAGTTTGCAATCAATGTGTGTGAGTGTGTCTTTGATCAGCTCAGGTGGCGGAGACCCATTAGACTTTGCTCAGACATGTCCAACCACCATTTCTCCTCCCCTCTCTTTCTCTCTCTGAGATGTGAGAACTTCTTACAGCTTTGATGATTTTACAGGAATCCTGGCTCCACATCAGTAATCTCAGGCTCAGCTGCTCGTCTGATGACTTCTTGCTGCCCTCTTCTTATGGTTTAATGTTTTTAAATCTTTTGGAGCGAGTCCAAGTAAAGCACAAGTCAATGACAACCGTAAAAGTCAGTCACATAAGATGATAAAAACAATGAAACTATAATACAGTTTTTAAACAAAGGATATATGAAAAATGAAAAAAAAGCCTGGAGACTGAAGCACAATGGAGCCAAAATAGCTCCACTTATATACCCAAATCATGTACTGTTGAGGCAATAGGTCATGGATTTATTTTTTCTCTCTTTTGTTTGAATCTGCCCTCTGACTTCAGTGGCTTCCCCTCATCCTGCCCAGTCCTCCATCCCTCCATCTCACCCTCCAATTACAGCATGTTTATGTTACACCTTAGAAAAAGATTGCCCTCAGTTTTACAGGAAACCCTGCACACACGTCGCACACACACACACACACACACACACACACACTCACACATACACACACATAGCACACACACGCACACACACATCCCTGCCACAAAGTGTGGATGGTATGTGTGTTTGTTTTTTGGGGGGTTGCTGTTTGTGTTAACTCACTGCTGGTGTGTGTGTGTGTGTGTCACCTATAGGACAAAGACATAGAAGGAGAGGAAGAGGAGGAGGAAGCTGTCACTGCAGTATCCAAGGTAAACAGCACAACTTCACAGCTATTTGGACATAGCACAGACACAAACAAACTATTTGCTTCCAAATTCACGTCAGTTACCCCCCTAAAGTTATGCACTTGTCCAACATGCTCTTATCTTCTCACACATTGACTGCACACACACACGTGCACATGCTCACAATATTGCACTTTTGACTCATGGTTGTGTAACCCTAAATTAATCAGTGAATGCTGAATTACTTATTTCCAAGAAACCTATGAGCACGTCGCAAAACAAGAATTATTCTTTGTGGAGAAACTCAGTTTTACAGTCTTTAAAATCGTAGGTGTTAGTCGACTAAGAATGTCTTTGGTTGAGAACAGCCCTAATCCTTTGATTAACTCAATACCCCCAATGCATTCATGTGCACAGGCAGTTTCTTCTTGTCAGATGACCACAAAGTGTTTCTCGGTGCAGCTGAGGTCAATCAGGAGGGTCAGAGAACTTCTGTGTTTATCTGTAAACACGCCAGCTTTCAGCTGTCATCCACTGCTTTATCCTCAACCTTATCACTGGAAAATCCTTTTGTTTGTTGTTGTGGCGCATGTTTGTGTACTTGTACTATTATCCTTATTCTAAAACCCACAGTTTGGAACAGTGGAGTGAGGTCACTGTAGTTTAGGGTAAAGATTTAAAGTCTTGAGCATCATTTTTTCATCAGTAATAACAACATTGTGCTCACTAAGTTAAATGCTGATATCTGGGAACACTGCCCAACGTCAGACGGGGAAAGAAACGCAAGCAGTCAGATAATCATTCAAGTTTTAAAGAAGCCGGGTATGGTTGACACATCTGACCCGATTAAAAAGATGTTTGATAACATCGTAAACTGGAGAGTTTTTAAATTACATTTTACGAAAACATTACAACGTATCTCAAATTATAAAAAGTTACCAATAATGCTCAAATAACATTGGTTATATTAACTCTGAAACACACATTCCTTGATGTACCTATAGATAAAAGTAAAAGCTACAAAGGATTGACAGTTAAGTTGAATGCATCATGTGGCTCCTTTGGCATTTATGTTATATAGTACTTTATGATGCTGCAGTGACTTTCCCTTAACAAAGTTGATTTCTCTTGTGTTAAACTTCTTGCTGGAAACCATGTTTACACATTAGAAAGTGTGAATTAGGCCAAAAGTCATCGTGAGTTTGATGGAAAACTTTGTCATTATCTCTGTAAACTTGTGAATTGTAAATACTGGTTTTATGATGCAGGTTTGACAAATGGCCTTTTTGTGTGCAGGCAACTTTATCTGGAGTTGTGCCCACTCCAAAGAATGTGTGTGTGAGATATGTCACATCTCCTGGTCTGTATACAGACAACAAGTCTTTACTCTCAGGTGTGGTCCTGTCTGAAGAATGTATTGTCTTTGAACTCTGGCTGCCTTGAGTGCCTTCCCTTTGTGTATGTATGGCTAGGTGACTTAGTTCGCAGGACATATTTTACAGCTTGTCGTGTTCGTGAGGACAGGGGTTGCTGGGCTGGAGAAGGGAAGGAAACGCAGCATTCATTCGAGGAGCTGGGCCTTTTCGATGGGAACAATCACTGTGGAAGAAAAACAAGGCTGAAAATAGCTTCAGACCGCTCTGATACCGTGGACAGCTACAATTCTTCCACCATCGGCGGCTTTATGATCATATTAGGACACACAAAGTAGACATGGCGTCCTGGAAGTGGAGGTTAACTTTAACTGTAAAAGGCTGATTCCATTAATTTAACATTCCATTTTGGATATAAAATGACCAGGGAGTCATGTGAACTGCGGATTAATTACACCTTTTAACCGATTTTAACCATCATAGTGTGAAAAAATGTTTTTTTTTTTTTTTTTGGTGAGAATCACGAGTATATGCAACTTTTTGAAGGATATGTTTTTACAGCAATATAAAATAGATATTAGAGATAATTTATGACATGTTTAACAACCTAACAATAGACATCACGCCATCAAGCTACCAGCCCTCCGGTGTCGAGCCACGGGACTCACACCGTCGATCTGCCTACTCTCTGGTGTCGGACCACGGGCTCCACACCTTCCTGTCTTCCTTACTCTGGCTAAATAAAGTCTGTTTCACCGTACTCTGTCTCCTGTGGTCTTGCTATTGGGTCCTAACCGTGAACTCCCGTGACATGATATTGCAATACAAAAAAAAATCGCAATCATTTCGTATTGTATTGTGATAATATTGTATTATGGGGCCTCTGGTGATGCAAACCCCTAATCAGTAACTATTAAAAGTGAACGTGGGGTCACTAATACCTGAAACTGATGCTTTCATATAACCTTCAAAAGTATGGAGTAAAATTGATCTAAAGATGTGACATTGTTTTGTATTTATTTACAGATTGATAAATGTGAGTGCATGCATCGCCTGATTCGATGTTTCCACACAGAGCCACAAATGCATCCACGTTTAAGTGCTATTGTAAAACGAGGAAATCACGTGTAATTTGTGGGAAAGACATTTTTAAAATATGACAAAGTCATTGCAGTAGAAAATCAATGACCTGATTGCTGTCTGTTAAAAAACTGTCTGATAACAACAATTAGCAACTTTTCCAAATTCAAATGCCTCTTTAATCATCCAGCTTCCATCTCTGGCGTATGGATGGAGGAATTCGGTCCAATAAGAGCTCTATTGTTCTGCCAGGCGTGGAGCTGTAGGTAAATCTCCCCCACACAGCGAGCCTCAGTGAGCTGCTGGGTTTACCTACTTTTTGGCCGAAGGGATTACTGGGCACTGAGCTGCTTTGGATCTCGAGGCTCGGAGGTTAATGTTGAAGAGAACGGTAAATCATCAAGCCTCTGTATGTGCACACATGCACATACACAGCTGGACTTTAGCTACAGTTCATGCACATACACACACACACTAATACACTCAATCTGTTTTGGCATCTCTGGTTTCTTTTACTGCAAAGCTCGAACTACAATGAATCTGATCCACGGTGTACACTTGATGGCACACAGGAAACAAGAAGCAGAGCAAGGAGAGAGATGGAAACAGTAGAGACCTTGTTAAAATAGCTGAGAAGAATATTTTGTGAATAGTGTTTGATGATAAAAACTGACAGCGTTCTTGCCCTCTGGCATGTTCATGAGGATGAGATGCGAGTCGAGGAGGACCTAATTTTCCGTTTATCAGCAACAGTGCTTGCCTCCTTATTAGATACCAAAGTGAGCAGAGTGTTTACAAAACCATCAAATGTCCTTTTGAATATGAGAAGATATCACGAGTGGGATGACGAGTAATCTTGTGTGTGTGTGAACCGTAGAGCTTGTGTAGCCTGTAGAACAAGCAGATCTGTTTAAGTTCATGTTGTGAATCTTGAGCTCAGACCCAGTATTGTTCATGTTCCTGTTTAGTTCGACTGCTTTCATGTTAGTTGTTTGCTTGTTGTAGCTGCTGCCACATCCTCAAGAGAGATGTGTATACAGCGATTTGAATTGATCACCTCCTCAAAAGCAAAAGAAGCAGTTTAGGGGGTCGCCATGGTCGGATGCGTTCCTCAAATAGTGTTGTGAGAACTGAGAACGTTTTGACAACGGTAAAGCAAAGCAAGGCACGGATATGAGTAGGAGTAAATGTTATGGCCTTGACAGTTGACATTGGGAATACTTCCCTGGCACGGAGAGAAACGAAGCCAAAAGTTTGTTCCATAATCGCTGAGGAGGGCGGTATCTGTGCTCGGTGGAAAGCAGCGAGGGCAGGGAGGAATTCTGATGTGACGTGGGAGACGAGGGGAGTCTCAGAGAAGGTGGAGAGTCTTCCACTGGAATGTGCAGCACGATATTGCCAAGTCAATGCCGTTCAAGCTCTCTCTCTCTCTCTGTATTTATCTCTCTATAACACAGAATTTGTAGCTTTATTTATAGATTTGTGTCCAACAGAATGTTAAGCTAAGCTAACAAGCTACTGCTTACATCATACCACCCTCTTGTCTGTGTGGTAAATGTGAACCAAGAGCCAAATAGAGCTTCATATTTAGGGGGAAACAGCCTGGCTCTGTCCAGTTCCTTTGTCTTTGTTCTAAAATAAGATACAAAGCTACAGGCATAGCGTCACATTTACTGACCTGAGAGTAGTAGACAATCAATTATATTGTCCAACTCTTTTAAAAAATGTTCCAAAATGTCAAACTATTTTATTAAGTATGATTAGTGCAGCAGAAAAAATAAACTTTCTACTTTTGTGATACTTATTACCTTTTGTTAACATGAAAAGATGACTTAGGTTTGATGGAAAGCACATTTCATTAGTTCAGAGCCAATGAAGTCCATCGCAGAATTTCAAAACGTGCACATTCATCAATCTGAGCATGAGGCTGTTTTTCTAAATTCCTGTGAAGTTGACTTTACCCTCTTTGTAAAGCATAAATCACTCACAAATAGACATTAGAGATAACAAGCTAAAGTGCAACAGATGCTGGTAATAATTTCCGCTCTGCGATTCAAAATCAAATGCTCTCATGTCTGTCGATTTCTGTCAGGAGGCCAAGGTAAAGAAGATCATGTCCAAGAAAGAGAGGAGGGAGAAGAAGATGTTCTCCTCTAAAGATGACGAGCACTTCTTGTTGACCGGAGTAAAGTTGGCTGACCGCAGAGGGTGAGGTTACACACACAATAACTTTGTCATTACTTGTCTCACTCCAAAGAAACATGTTATCTTCATCACAAAGTTAATAATTAAACGTAGTAGGCCTATAGCATCACAGTTTGTTGGGATTTCACCATCTTGCTGAAACAAAGAGAGAGGCCCACATGTTATTTTGAAAGCCTAGATTGTGAAATCGCCTCAAACCCCCAAACAGGTGTCAAAACGTCACCCGAGTGTGAGATTTGGTTCAAACCACAACACTGGTGCCTCATTGGACGAGAGCCACGGGAACCCCAGGGACTCCCTGTGACACAGCCATGACGTCACCGAGGCTATATAGACCGGCTCATAACTTCACACTGCGTCGTCCAACGCTTTTAGCAACTCACGTTGCTAAAAGGAGCTGAAACAACGTTGGTGCCTTTAAAGAAAAAAACCTAAGTAATAGTCTTAACTTCGCTGGCCAACAAAACATTCTGATATTGACTGCCAGGTGGATATGAAGCCAGAAAAAGAGCCTCTGTAGGGGTGAAGGGGTCCGCATTTCAATCAGTACCATATTACCACTACCAGTAAATAAAATGTGTGTCAGACCAGCCCAGATTGTTGCTGGTTTACATCAATGTAAGTGGGATTAACTACTTGAAGTCCGCATTGGTGTTCAGGTGTATGCAGCAAAAATATTTACAAACTTGTACAAACACGTCCAACCACTTGTATTTGTTTGAATGTAAGACAAAGCTTAATTTGCCAGGAGTTATTCACTTTGAGACCCTCTGAGGAAGTGGAACATGTATGAGGAGGAAACCTTAAATTAATCACATCTCTGTGACAAACAACCGGGAATTCCTTGAATTTCTGCATGGGGAAAGTTCCTGTCTCCAGTGTAGATGTCTGGTACCCCACCCAGTGAGTCCTATTTATAGTTAAGATGAAAGCGGTAGACCGGTTATGTTATATGCTAAAACTTTGTGCAACAGCCGCTCTGTAAGTGTGTGCTTCTCTCCCTCTATTTGTTTTTCTCTTAAGGTCTCTCAAGAAAATCAAGGATGATGAGAAGGAGAAGGAAAAAAAGGAAAAGCCAGAGAAGGGCCACTGTTTCTGGGAGAGCGTTACCATGACCATGAGGCAGATCTCCCCCACCAAAAAATTGGAGAAGATGGAGGGCTGGGAGCCTCCACACCTGGAGAACTTAAATGAGACTGTGACCGACGAAGCCCCGGAGGACAAGAGCCAGAAAGGGGACTCGCCAGTGTCCTTCCCCGACTCTGTAGGCCTCCCGTTGGAACTGGCCTCCTGGGCGGGCCAAGGTCTTGAGGAGGACTCCTCCCGCTATGCTAATCTGTCGGACTCCAAGGATTCAACAGCTGCCGTCAGGTGGACATCCCGCGCCAAAGTCAAGTTGGCTGGCATCAGCAGGATGAGCAGAGGGATCGTGTCAGAAAGCGCTTGGGAGGGGTTTAAATAGGAGCCATTTCACCTTTGATACCCTCCCTCCTCACCTATGTACTGTCAGAAGATGAAGACCTGAACCAAAAATCTGCTTGTCTCTGTAGTCTAGTTCTGGACGAAGCCAGTGTTAACGACAACTGGTGTTGAGATGCTGTTGTAAAGCCCTGAACGTAACACATAATGTGATTTCAGCGTTAAAAGCCCTCGACATGCTAGTTTTATCAATGGGCTTTTGAATCACTGACATAAACTGTAAATAACAACAAATGAAAGCCTTAAACTATTTTACCATTTTAACTGTGATATCCACTGGCCTGGCATTTAGATATTTTGTATTGCCAAAAAATGAGAAGAGTGATTTTCATATAATTATTGTGGCTGTCAGTGGTAGAGAATCAATGAAGAATATGCAACTTTCTGTCTTTACTGCACTGAGTGAAGAATGGGAGTCAATTATGGGCTTAAAATAGATGCAATCATGGAACAGCTGATGAAAAAATGTGGGTCCGGAATATTAGTGTATGTGTTTGCATCTGCGTGTGTGTGAAAGAGAGGTTGATAAAGAGGAAGTGAGTTTGATGGACCTGCACGCACATTTGTTTGAGTGAATCACAGTTGGCATTGCTAAAGAGATTTGAATCTCTGTTGTGTTGGGAGCATGTGAGGGAAACAAATTGAAGCAACCCTCACAGTGTCATAGTGTGATACGTGTTTAAATCTGATGCTGAATAATCTTTTATAACATTTGTAATGCTGACCAGATAAAAGCCAAAACTCTGTGTATACTTGTTTCTCGAGAAAAGCAGAGACTTCATGCAGCTGTGCCTTGTATCAATACAATGACATCATGTGTGTGCTATCAATTTGAACTAGATCATCCTCTGTGCACAAAACAGATGAGCTCATCTATGCATGTGCAGATGGGTCGACCCAGCATACACTTTAGCTGCGTCAGCCATCGACACTCAAACTGGTTTCCAGTTACGATCCCTGGATGCTGTTAGCTTCACCAGCAGGAGCAGCACAAGTGTTTGTGTGTTACATTATGAAAAGTCTTTTAATGCTGTTTGTATATCTGTATATTGTGTAGGACTGAGACAATGAAGAGTAATTTCATTTCTACAGTGATTTGTCTTTTAGGTGAATAAGAAACGTCATGCCACTGGTCTTTTCTTCTTCTTTGTTTTGTTCTGTTTACTGAATTTGTTTGATACTGAAGTCTGCTTCATTGCAGCCAGAGGTGTACACAGATACTGGTGCACTTCCAGGGATGCATGTATCCTGTATTTATTCATTAAACAGCTGGGTCACATTCTCTCAAGCAGAATAAAGATTTAGTCCGACTGTCTGGCTCTACTTTATTCAACACATTGCAGTCTGTAGTAGTGTTTTCACGATACTGGAGTTTCTAACTTTGATACAACCTTGAAAATATATTTTCATGGGGAAATACAATTTTAGATTATTTTTAAAGTTACTGTGAGGAACATTTAACAAGTTATAAAACAGTCTCAATTTAATACTGATGCCTCTATATGACCTCCATAAATATAGACCATGAGCAAAACGATTGGCCATTTCGATATAGTTTTTCTTAATGCTTGTCATCGGTGCTACCGGTTTGGATTCTGCGCAAAAACAGGTGAAATCATGCAGGTTCACCAGAAAGTCCTTTATCTCAGACTCCAGCAACCAGTCCACGGCGGACTGACCCAGATCCGGCTTTGCTGCCACCTTCGACCTGCAGACGGAAGCTCCGGCTGGAGGTGGAGAGCTCAGCAGCAACATCTCAAATATCTATTTCTTCTTTTTTTCCATTGAACTGCCTTTAAAAAGATTGCCACTGGAGCATAAGAGGAAGACTATTAATCATTAAGCTTCGCTCCTGCTGTCAATAACAAACGAGTTTTCCTCGTTAAAGTGGGAAGACATTTCTGTCCAAATCCAAGGAGTGGAAACTACAATTAGGTCGAGTCTAAAAAAATATATGTTATACAGGCAACAGTGCAAATAATTCCCTGCGTCTCCGCAGTATAAAATGAAGAACAGAAACAGGTTTTTAGAAATGTTTAATTATTTATAGCTAGTTCATGTCCCATAAAAGTCACGATGGTTCCACCAGGAGTATTGAGACGGTAACGGATTATTACAAAAGTTGGAGGAAAGATACAAAACTATTTTTCCCCATAAATAATGTTTAACATTTCCTGTCTGTCACTTGACAGTTCTGACTAAAGTAGATTGTAAAACCTACGGAGTTTTTTTAAAAATGATTTTCTCTTATTAATGTACAGACAACAGCAAGAATTCACAAAGGACAACATACAGCATGTAAACAGAGACTCAAACATGACAGTTATACCACCATATTATTTAAATACCACCAAAACAGACCAGAACAAAAAGCAGAATAGTTAACCCCATTAAACAAACAAATAACACGAGTCATCCTATTCTGCCACACTGTAAATATTCCTGCCTTTTTCCATTAAAAAGACAACAACCTCTTGGACATTACCTATCAGCACTTACCTAGCATAAACATGCTACAATTCCTTCTACATATAAATCCTTTCACATATTACATTTAAATATTATTTTTGTCGTTCCTCTCATGAATAGCCTTTTTTTTTGTCGAAAAGACAAACATTTGTGCAGGAGGAGGAAAAACATTAAAGTACTTTATATTTCAACATTCTTAAAATCTACAAACTTGTCTTTGTCTTATGGAAACACTTGTGCGTAAGGAAATGAAGAAATCTCTTTCAGTTGAAGCCCTTTATATTTGGGTAAACAACCTCAAGGTCTCGCACACTCTCGCACACTCTTGCTTTGGGAGTGAGCGTAAACGGCGGTTCACTTGAAGACCAACACGGAGGGTTTAGAACTTGAAGAGGTCGATAAAGTGCTGTGGAGAAATGGGTATGAGGCAGCTGTCTGGATCGTTGGCAGTGCATGGATGGCCACAGTCCTGGAAGATAGTCAACAACCACATCGTTAGAATGAAGGGAGACCAGGAGAGCACAGAAGCTTACAGTTCAGACACAGCAACCAGTAGCTACTAAGAACATGGAAGGACTTCAACACAGACTTAGTGATGGATTTACAAGCAACTGGTGCAACCTGACATTAGTATACACAGAGAAACATTTGTGTTAAACTAAATGACAACAGGCCGTTTTCTTTCAGACACAAGAACTCAACATTTAGAGGAATTTATGAACTTTAAGAATGCGGTTAGAGGTCATTAAAAAGACAGCAGAAAGAGCGGCATTGTTCGCGGAACACACCTCGGGCAAAACATGATGAGATCAAGAGAAACTGAGAATAGAACCAGACAAAGCTTAACACGTGGGAAAAGATAAGTCACAAATGTGACTATCGCGGAAACATGACACAAACTGGGACGGAAAGTACCTTGAATGACAAAGCCAGGTGGCGATCCTTAAGGAATCAGGGAGAAGGGGAACCAGGAGAAGAGCCGGGAAGGAAGGGAGACGAGCAAAGGAGAGGGACGCAAAGAGGGCAGAGGTTAAAAAGTATAGAGATCCCAGTCAAGGAGGAGAACAAGATTGTGTTAAGTAAATAATCGCAAGGAGGGGGGGATAGAAACTATAGGAAAAGCTGCATTTTACATCCAAGTACTGTTAGTATGTGCCGATGGTTTATGGTCAGATCTCATGCGTCAATGAAAGCAAACAAGTAATCTGTTTGATCTCTGACCGATAAAAACAAACGTCCTGGTGGACAAAAAGGATAATCATTACCTCATCGATAATGTATGCTTATCTGTGTGACTCATTATTTTGACACTGTCCTCAAGTTTTAACAATAATTTCATCTGTAACTAGTCAAAGCAGAAAGGTCATGTCAGGGTTTATTTTTCCAAATATTCCCAAATATTAACAGTATTAAGTTGAGATTCCAATTGCTATTGAAAACCTTTCTCACGGCATGCAAGAGACAGATATCAGTGAGAGAAAGGCTGTATGGTTGGACCAAAGTCTCTTTGAGTCTTTAGAAACAATAGAGTGTGTACCAAAGACTGTAACAAATGATAATGGATGTTTTGTCTCTGGCCAAAGGAATAAGATGTGCTTTGGTACTAGATTTGATAGACTCTAACCCTGACCCCTGTACAGTTTAAGATATATCAGGTCTGTGAGAAACGTCTCGTTGAACGGTGCACTTTTCATTTTCTGTACACACACTCTGCCTCAAGGTGAAATTAGGTTTTCTACTATAGAACCAAAGGCTGTTTTTCTTTTGCTGCAAGGAAATATTGCCTTATACATAAAACCACAGAATGGAACATTGGTACATTTTTCTGTAAAAGGCCATATTACACAAACTGCCACCTTATCCATGTTCTCTAATGATGCCAAAAACAGTAGCTGCAACCTGTCATCTTGTGGACAAATTATTTGTCACTCCTAGAACCTGCACCGTTTTTGATGAGAGCGCTTTTAATGTTTTGGAGCCCCATCTTTGTGTGAGCGACAGAGATATTTTAAACTACGTTTACATTTAAAAAACAGGATTAAGGATCATTTGAGCACTGAATGCACTTGCCTTAACATGAAATGAAAAGTATTTGATTGATGCAGTTTACTGGATTGCTTTAAGTCTGTAGTATCTTTTATATGATTCTTTTAAATGTTGATGTGAACTTTTTGCGATTTTGTTTTTAAGTCTGTTATCTGTGCTTTTATGCGATTTTCCTTTCATGTAATGTACAGCTAGTAATTTACTTGCAGTCTGATGAACCGTACTGGCTCGTCACATGGTGTTTCCTAGATAATATCAACATGGTTGCAGGTGTCTGTGTGTGCGCCATCTTTCCGTTTACCTTCCAGAAGAGGATTTTACAGTTTTTACAGAAGTGCAAGGTGTCGCCGTACTGCTCCTTCATTGGATAATGCTTCTTCAGGGTGAAGAACATCAGCTTCCAGTCCACTTTTTCACTGTTGGATAGGACCAAATTCCTACAGAACTGCACATGAATGGAAGGAAACACACAATTCAAAAAACAACTAAAACACAGAGGAAGGGGATGTAATTAGACCTGCAGCTAAGTGCAATTAGATATAATTGAGAACAATATCTCATTAACACCAATCCTGAGTGGGTGTCTATACGATGTGTGTGAGATAGTGTGTGTGTGTGTGTGTGTGTGTGTGTGTGTGCGTGCCTGAGCTGACAAAACAAATTGAGCAATTCTGTCCTCTAGTGGTCAAAAGGTGAACTACTTAGCAGACGTCTCTTTGGATGGGTAACTATGAACTATTATTGTAAGTTTTAAGCACTTTTAAAATCATTATTAAAATGTCAGAAGTTGCTGTACATACTCCTTATCCATGTCTGATTAAACAAAAAATATGTTCTCTCACCTGTTTGTCTGAGAAGTGAAAGTGGCAGAGTTTCCTCCACAGTATCCTGTCCTCACTGAGGCTGTGCAGAGCAGGCATGGCTTGCCCGACGTTAATGATGTCATAGGCATCAGATAACTCGCAGAGAATCTTGTTCTGCATGTGCAGCGGCAAGTCCTTGAACGTCATGCCGTTGCACATTTGCTGGGAAGACGATTAAGAGCGACCCATTAAAATTCAAAACTTGGACTGAACAGAAAAACTAAAATATTCCTACATGAGTAGTGTACCACTGATAACGACGTGTTACGATTCATACACAGTTGAAAATGAAATCACCAGGGTCCAATAGATTAGTTTCCAATACTTCCCTTTCCATATTTCATGTTCCTCACTCACTGAATTCAGCTTCGCTGTAGCAGCATGTAAAGCCAGCAGTGGCACTGCCTCAGCAGCACAGAGGTCAGTAAACCTACTGCACTGCTTCCCTTTTAAAAGTCACATTTACATACAGGCGGCTCAAATTGGACCTGGAGGCGTGTTGAGGCCCAGAGTATGCTGAAGCAAGTCTTGGGATGGACTAAACACGATGGAATACACACATGCAGATGTACAAACACAAACACCAGTACGCCTTCTACCTCGGGGATCTGCAGGTTGTTGATCTGCTGCTTCCATTTGTGAATGGTCTCCAGTCGGCACAACCAGATGTTGACGTTGCCCACGAGGACACACCTGCCAAAATGGATCGTCAGATTGTGCAGCGTCAAGCTCAGGTCCTGCAGCAAATCCTTGACAAGGCGCGGGTTGTAGTGGTCGTCTAGAACTAGTAGTGACATTTTAAAAAAAAAAACATAAAAAACAAACGAACAAAACAAATATTTAAAGTCTAAACATTAGCAGCCAAAATGAAACATTATGTAAGAAAATGTTTCCATGTCCCACCTTAAATACCTCGAACTGAATATAAGGGAAATGCAAATCCTAAATTAATCGCTGAGAAGACCCTACTTTATATTTTTTCTGAAAAAAAGACTTTACATGTGGCAGACTAGATCTGTAATTTGTTCCACTAGGCAACACAAATAAACTACAAATACTGGTTTTGTGGTTAGGCATTCAGTGCAATAACACTAGCGTGACTTAACAGTAGTCTGAGAAACAGCTCAGAGGATTATCATTTGGTAAAGAAATGTTCTTTCTGTAAAATATAATGCTACTTTTACAAACACAGAAAGGGCCTAAATTAGGTGTAGGGTGCAAAGAAAAGTGTGCTGACAAAATGTCTATCCAACATCTCCGTCTCAGGCCTCCTTACCCTTTCGTACAATCTTCTCCAGTATGTTGAAATAGTTTTTCTGTGCAGCTCCACTCAAAGAGGTCAGCTGAGACCTGGCTATTAACTGGAAAAGCTGTGGGAGAAAACAGAGTTAGACTGGTAGAGTAAGAGTCGCTTGTACGAGTCTTAAAACAGTTTCAAAATCAACATGTGTGATCTTAAATCGCTCACTTTTGCAACATAGTTGAATCTTCTCAAGTCCTGAATGGCACTGGAAAAGTCTAGACGGTTGAGGGCTTCACCAAGCGTGGAGTACACATGTCGCTGTGTGTGAAAATACACACGCGTAGATTTTTGTTAGTAAATTCTGCTGTTTTAAAATCAACAGCCTTCACGTGAAATTTTCTAGTAACAGCTGCAGCGCTCACTTCTTTTGTGCTCCTGTTGTGCACGCAGATCCATTTATCCACGAAAATAACTGGACATGGAAAAAAACAAACGAGCACATAATTCATCAGAGATTAACCCAAAACCTATGACTGGTAAACATTACGTGTAACACATTGTAAATACACGTAAAACCAAAAAATAGCCATCCATACAGTGCTGTCAGCTTCAATATGCCAATTAACTAATTAATTAATTGACAAGTGAATGAAAAGTAAGTCCAATACATGTCAAGGCACACAAAGTTTTCAATAGGTGCTGGTCCCTTTACTGCAATTTATGACTTGCACTTCCTTTTATTTCTGCTGTTTCTTTCATTTTTGTACCACAGACTCCTCCTAAAGTCAAAATAGGGATTATGTGTTGCTGAAACTCACACTGAGATTTGGTGTTATTGTTGTAGAGGTCCTTTTTCCTCTTCGTGGTGGCGAGCTCACACACATCTCCAACAAACAGATTCTTATTGTTGTCATTGCAGAGCCTGTTCGGACACAGAAGGCATACCATGTCAGTGTGACTGGTGCACCTGAAATACAATTAAGAACCAGTGAAAAGAAGCCTGGAGGAAGTGGGTGACTTCTTACTGACGTCCATCCTTCATGGCAAAGAAGAAACCAAACAGAATGTAAAGGCCCATAAATTCTTCTGGTAAAACATAGAATGGCTTCATTGTAAAAATAAGCAGACTAAGACAGAAGTAACATAAGTCACAATAGTCAAGATGTGACATAATCATTCATAATAGGCATTTTGAACTATTTTCTGATAAAAGAAAAAAAGATGAATCAAGAAAATCTTGGCAGACTATTTGGCCACATTACAAAACTGTACCTCGGGTTTTTTTTTTTTTTTTTTTTTACACCAACTCTGTGCCCAGGATCCTACAAAGTAGAAGGATCATAATGCATTCAACTTGACTGGAAGAGCTTCAGGATCTCATATAAAATCCTATTATTTTCATTTAATACAGATGGTAGTAAGCCTTTGCTGCTGTAGAAAATGATAAATTGGTTGCAACAAATACAAAACTGTTGTTCCTGCAACAGGTCCCAGACTTCACTCAACAAGGTATTTATTCTAATAGAAAACTCAAAGCGCTATTGTTCTGTTTGTGAGCTTTCAGAAGCTGGAAGAAACGTGTACTCCATCAAAATGATGATGAGTCACAAAGTGGCTGATTTGAACACACATGCTTTGGGATTATGGAACTAATTTACTTTTCTCTCCAGCATAACTGAAGGCATGGCTTTGCTTGTCTGTGAAGTCAACAGAAGAGTAATCCATTCATCCAATTGCACAGACATGCACACAAAACACACATGCGAGCACAGTAACCAGCTCGGCTTTTCAACACAGGTTGCATGCGGAGCACCGGCCTCCACAGAGCCAATAACAGACATCACACACACACACACACACACACACACACACACACACACACACACAC